AAGAAGAAAAAAAACATTATCCAGAAGTAAAAAAAAGAATTCATTTACGTATGTATAAGTTATATGCCCTTTAAATGACCTCAAATAAGTAGAAAATTCTGATCCAGGGGCATATAACTCAAAAAGGAGAATGGTGAACCCATTGTTTCGCTTAAAATGTTTTTGTTATCATATTCTAACAACATGCCAAGTTTAAAGTAATTCTATTCTATTTAACAGTTTTAATTTTGCCTATATGTTTATATGAAAACTCCCGAAAATGTCCTTGAATAAAAGAGATGTATGCCCGATACACATTTACATGCTATATACATACAATGTGATGGCTCATGACATACCGCTGAAACAGGTTCGAGGGGGGCTAATAATGGTGAATTTGTTTTACATTTTCTCTTGTTAACAGATTTAACAAAGCCAAGCCTGATTATTTTATGTTGTATTGTTGTTTTTATTTACATCCAAACGATTACCCCTTTTCCTGGTTTCATACTTCTCAACAAAATGTGTCAAGTATCGTGTTGAAACTGTAAACAAGTTGCCCCTTCAATAATGTAGCATTTTCCTCACGGATCATCGATTACAACACGTAAGGATTGCATATTTAATTCCGCTATTGAATGCCGCTTATAGCGGTGATTGGTGTGTGAGAAAGGTTTTGATTATGTCTAAAGAACAATATTGCCATTTTCAATGGTGACACAAAGTTTTCATTGCGTTCGAGGCATCACCCCTGTTCAAAATTTATTTATTTAATATTCCAGTCTTCCTATCAGCATCTGTCTTCAGTAAAGTACCCTGGGCAGCTTGAGAAAAGTGCAACGTCATTCTGTTCAGTAATGTTATAAGATGTTTCCTTTGTTGTCGTTTTTTTAACACTGTATATCTATTTAGAGCTCGGCCTAAGCCTGTACTACTTGGGCGTAAGACATGTTTCATTTAACAGAATTGTACATGAACTTACTTACTCAAGCAGAGTCTGCAATTTTCGTGCAATATTGTTTCTAATTTTTCACAGCGTCCGAGAAGAAAACATTCCGGCTTTTTATGAGAAATACAATTCATAACAGACATGTTTCGAGGAAAGTTTTAATATAATTGAGTTAATAAATATAACTTAAATGGTTCTGATATACAAATGAACATTTACATACATTTACGGATCATCAATTCCTATTTTATTCAACAATTCATTTTCGACTGTGCCTCATCCGACAACTGGTTCAGTAAAAAGTATGTTTATAATATATAGTTATTTAATCACTCATGCTGGACTTAACGACATAAATATTTAGTATGATACCGAATAAATTTTATTATCATAAATCCTTATCTCATCTGTTGAGAATTATTGCATTTATTATACAGGTTAGTTAAAAATAGTAAACGATTTTTGTTATAAGACTTAGTCCTCTACAATATTCCAGTGCAAGCATTGAAGTATTGACTCAGGTGGGTGCAGTAGAGTTACACAAAAATGCAAAATTATTTTATCTATTTCATTCATCGTATCACAACCACTATAAGATGGGATAACATTTCATTTCATTTATTTATTGGCAATCAGCAATACATTTGCCTTTGGCCATTTACAAACAAACAAAAAAACTTATGGCAAAGACTATTATATACATAGCTAACATAGACAAATAATGAAGTACAATATACGATCAGAAGACAGGTAAACTTTCAAGGGTATTTTGACGTAAACACAATGCTTCTTTTATATACTTTGCTAGATTAAACATATATTTTTTACTTTTATTTGACATCAATGCATTGAACTTTTGTAAAGTTGGCCATGAACACTGGCCCAAATATTTCGATCTAATACTACTGTAACGTGAGCAACACATAACAAAATGATATTCTGACAATAACAATATGGTTAAAAACTGTATCATTTTAATATACAATTTATCGTTTGTATACATAATTCAAGATCACGTGCAACAAATTTATATATCAATCTTATTACAATTGTATGGGATTTGCAACAAATCAGTGGTGTATAACAGACTTCAGTTTTCTTAACTGACATAATTATTTAAAAAAAAACACAACAGAAATATATAATATTGCTTTTGAACTAGATTTAATCATAGAAGATGAAGCTTTTGTATTGACTGCAGCATGCATATTTTCCTAGAGGTTGAAAGATTGATTACGCGAATAACAGCAAAATAAAATGAAGTGGATAATAAAAATATTTACATTTTGCAAACAGCACATCCACTTTTAGTTGTCAAAATATGCAAATATAGTTCTTACTGCATTAGTAACGCGTTTGAAATGTGTTCATTAATACTGCAAAATCAGTCATTTATTTTAAAATACATGTAAATTATTCGTAGAATCTTGTATCGTTATTATAAACCTTTATTTCTTAAAATCTGTTTGACATTTTTATCAAGTTAGATTTTCTTGAAATATTTCTGTTCTTCTAGGGGAAAGTAGCTTTTAAAATGAATAGCAAGTTATTTATACAATCAGCAAGTTTTCATGATATTTTGTAATAGTTTTCACTAAGATGAACTATTGATAGTTAACTTATTATTGTTTTATAATTGTTTGAGAATTGGTATTAACCAAACTTCCCTATTCGTGTAGCTGTTACGACTTTACTATCACAATTTTCATACTATCATAATTTATTAAACGTTCGTCCGTTGAACGAATGAATTATAATGCCCATTATCTTAATCATTTCCGTTGCACTTTGTCCGTTTATACACGTACTGTTCAAAAGGTATCTGACAAGAAAAGTTCCAAATAACTTTATAAGACTTTAACAATTGAATTATTCTGTATTCTTGGATCTTGCGATCATAAAATTCAAAACTCAATAATATCGACAAAACGAAACAGAAAAAAAATGTCCGTGTTTGGATTTGAAGCACAGGACCCCCATTTTAACAAAACAATTCTAGCGCATGTACTATCACGGCTGTGGCGGCAACGCTATTGACAGACGGATATTTTAATTTAGATACAATAGCTAGCAAAAAACCTATATATATTGTATTTAGATGTTAAATATTAAGTCTGGAACTTAGTTCAATGCTTTCTTTATAAATATTACCAAAAATCTTAGAAAAATTTAATTCGTTTTCACAAAATATAATTTCGTATTATACTTACGAATTACTATTTCGAAATTACGAAATAACATTTCGTTTTTACGAATAAATATTTCGTAATTACGAATTAATATTTCGTAAAAACGATTTAATATCTCGTAAAACGAATTTATATTTCGTTATTACAAATTTTTCTAACACTCACGTGATTTTGTCACTATAGACAAAGAAGGAAAAAAAACTGGTGTTAAACTGCCAATAAACACCGGTAAGGGACTACTTTGCGCTGTTATGTTTTAACCCTCGATAGTATAGTTTACAAAGCATTTTAAAGCGACAATAAAAAGCATTTTTATTTATATTTTCAGTTCGTATAATGTTTTCTTTTCATACAATACCGAAATGATATCTCACATACACTAACGCCACATATTAGATCCATATCAGTGAATAAATATTTTGACAAAACGGCGCCAATCCGTATGCAGCGTAATGACGTGATCCTAAGTAAACAACTCATTCATAAACAAGCTGACGTTATTTCATACAAATTGGGCACTGATGTAAACACAATACGACGTAAGATTTTATTATTGAAAAACATGATAAAAAAACGTTGTTTTTTTTCTTATTATTTCTTTTGTTTGATAATTTCTATATCTTTGCAACAGTAGGGAAAATCGAACAGCGTTATACGAAAATCGGCACCGGAAGTTATTTCAGCGTGAAAAATAACATTAGTGGTTTTCCTTATTTTATCGTTGTACGGCCTACGGCCTTCGTGGTCAATTCCTACGGATCAAAACTCCAAACCGGTGTTAAATAGCCGATATACACCTCTCAGGCCGATGTTATTTCTTAAATATTTCGTAATTACAAAATAATAATTCGTAATTACGAATTAATATTTCGTAATTACCAAATTAATATTTCGTAGAAAGAAATTAATATTCTGTAAAAACGAATTAATATTTCGTAAAAACGAATTAATATTTCGTAATTACGAATAAATATTTCGTAATAACGTTTCTTTATACATTCCAATGTTAAGATAGTTCAGGAGAGTTTGAGAAATTTACATAAAGGAACTCTTGGAGTGTGTTGCGTTTATTTCTGAACATAGCATATTGTTATTAACAGGATTATTTTTTCTTTCCAGTTGAGGAATTCGGCTGAATTTATTGTGGTAAAATCTGATCTTAATTGACCTGGCTGGCTTATTAATATTGAGCTGCATTTGGTAGTTTAAAACATTGGTTGATATTGGTTTATTTGCATTTGTTGATTTTTCTTCAAGTCAAATTTTGTAAAGTAAAGAAGATATCTGAAAATATTGGTTGTTTTGAATCGCTATTTTATTAATAATTTCAATGTGGATTTATACATACTTAAAGAGTTGTGAAAAAATCATTACGTGCACTTAATTTTCTTGTGATTTCTGTTTTGTTTTATTATTAGGGGTTTTGGCTTACCAGGTCTTGATTATTGTTTTGGTAAAAGACGTTATCACATGGTGTCTGTTTCTTAGGGATGAAAATAATGACCAGAGACATTTGTCGTTTTGATGAATTTATGAACACGACATAAAGATATAAAAAACATCTTTTTTAAACGTGTTAACTAATCAAATACGTGCTTGTATTAATTAAGCATATTACAATTACATGTATTACTGTCAGGCGGTGCTGCTTTGCCTTCATGACATAATATCCTTTCTTAGATGAAGTAACGTCATTTTGCTGATAATATTTAAATTTAAAATAAATAATCCATCAAAACGTTAAATTCACAGAAATTGGCAGACTAAATATGAAGATTAATCAGAGCCAAAAAAAGTGAAGTAGACTTATAACGAAACACGACCCAAAGATTATTCAATAGTCATTTTTAACAAATTCAATGGAAAAAAATCAAGTATTTAGTTTCTCTTACCAATGAGTACTTAGAATTTCCTATTAATAAGAGGTGGAAAAGTTATTTTAACAATGAAATATTTGCGTTTATATACATGCAAAATAATGATAATTATGATGATTATAATATTAATAATACATTAAAACAGAAATGGATTTATAGCTATGACAATTTATCTTTCAAGTTAAATGACATTTATGTTATTTAAATGAATTGAAAGTTTGCTTATATGCTTATGTTTCATCACTGTATACGTTTCCTTAACATCATTTTGCTTTTTTGCAATGATTGTATAGAATTAAAACTTTTGTATACCATTCCATGATAATCATATGTACCTGGAAAAAGGAAATTGCCATTAAGATTTGCTTCGTAACAATTAAGATACCACCAAGCACCATGCCATTCAACAGCACAGTTGTCGGCAAAATCGTTGTCAGCATCATGGTCGTACGTCGTAAATTTCACACCATTGTGATATACAAAACTATTCCTTTTAGAAACTGAAAGTAACAAGACTTTCAAATCAATAAGTAATACATGAACGTCAAACACGTATTATGTCAAACTATAATTTGTAAGCTTTATAATTCTATGATAATTTACAGATACTATTGTTCAGGACATACGATTTAGGATATAAATCTTAGTCCATGCTTTTGTATAATTTTTGTGGGTGCTTCAAGTATTCCTGTTTCCAACTGTAACATTAAATATACATTATAAACTGCCTGCTTATGACGATTTTGACAGTTAAATTATTTTTATAACATTTTTTCAAAATAATTATAATTATATTTATGCGTAAATCATTTTCTTTCCCAGATCTACGTTGCCTATATTTTCATAACGAAGGGAGGGGAGAGTCAACCAATAAGGTCACGTGAGTCCGCCTCCCTATGCATAGATAGATCCCAGGCCCGGCTTTCACTAACGTTCTCAAAGTAAAAATCTCAGCTCAAATCTGAGATTTTTCTCAAATAAGAAATTGAGATTGAGATTTTTCTCAGTTTGGCTTTCACTAAAAAATATTGAGAAAAATCTCAACTTAAGATTTGAGATTTTTCTCAGATATATTGAGACAAGGTTTGGCTGTCTCAGATTATGTCTCAGTGAAACTAAATTATTATTCTCAGAAGTTTTTTTTACTTTTTGCATGGTTATTTTGATAAATAAACATAATTTGACCTTTTTGGCAATTAAATTCCTATTATTTTCATATATTTAGTATTATATTGACTGATTATTGTTGGTGACATCATGCGCTTTAATTCATGACGTCACAATTATCATACTGAAAATAATTTTGTTTTCTTTTGATGTATATTCATTCTTGATAAATCATTTTCATTAGTATTCAAATATTCACACATTTGCAATTGCTTTTGTTGTTTTTGTCATTGTTTCTTCTTCTTGTTGTTGTTCATTGTAAATAAAACATGAAAATTTTGATCTTCTTAATGTAATAAATATATAAAACATTTCCCTGTTGCGTCATCTTACATCAAAACAGCAACTATATTAATATATACATGATATACTAAGTAACAAAAAGGAACACTAGAGATATGTTTTAGTCATAGAAGCCGATCAACAATGTACACTAAGATAGCCGCTTATGTCTTGAGAAAAAAAACAACAGTCTCAGTTGAGAAAATTCTCAAATGTTGAGAAAAAGTTTAGTGAAAGCCAACTTGAGATTTTTCTCAGGTGAGTAAGAATCTCAGTCAATACTGAGACAATCTTAAGTTGAGATATATCTCAGTTTGAGAACGTTAGTGAAAGCCGGGCCTGTGACCTGTATTGTTCTAATTATCAGATAAGTAGATACAGTAAGAATATCACCACATTATAATTGATAACAAAGGAGCACATGTAAATGTTTGTGGTTAAATCTATTGTTACGAGTATTCAAATGAATGATCAGAGTATTGATCTATCCATTGATAACGATTATGTCATATTAATATAAGAATTATTGCTTTGTAGCACAATTCCGAGATTTTTTCGCATTATTCGTTATTTCGTTTACGAATATTAACACAAGTTGCCAGTACATGATTGGCTATATAACAAACATATTTTTGAGACAGGTGATGATATTGATTGTTGCATTAAAATTGTAAAATAATAAATTTTTAAGGAAAAGTTGTACAATTCCATTCAAAGGTAAAGTTGACTTTTTATTTACTCACTGTTGAGACTGGCAATTGTGTTGCCTATATGAAGAGTAAATGCCGGTCCGGCTGAAAGTGAAAAATTCTCGAAAGTTTCAAAAGCCTTTGCCCCGTCCGCCGCCTCTAAATCAATTCTGAGATCTGTACGTCCCCTGTTTGCAATTTCTCTAATGTGTTTCAGTCCTTCAAAATGTTAAATATGAATAATAATTACTTTATTTACAAAAGTTACAGAAGTTAACACATTAAGACAAATACAGATTTGTAACACATCGCAGCCTTTTAATAAATACATACCAATCGAAGAAAATATAACATGTAAACGAAATAATTAAATGGTAATCACAGTGTTATCATATAAATAATTACATAAACTAAACATGTTTAAACAACTTATTTTATCAAAACCTTTCATCGAACATAATTACGTTCTTCGGTGCATTATTTTAATTTGTAATTAAGACAATACAAACTAATAAAGTCAGGACTATGACAGACAGACGTAATATAACGATCGTATCTTGTGCATATATTACACATTAACCGTACTAAATTTGATTTAATAAATATTTCTCAAAGTTTTTTTTTTAATATTGACATTTTTTTTCCTTTTAATTGTCAGTGGTATGGATTTACAAATACCCGTGTATTTAATTGGAACATATCATTAAAATAGTTAGTACGTGGTTTATACGACCAAACTAAATTTCATTTAGATTTCGATCATAGATTATTAGAAATGGTAAATAAGTCTGGGATATATTAAGGGGCATATTACACAGTGCTTTAAAATGTACTCGGACATCGGGGTGAAAAATACATCTTTTTTTGAAAGGCAATATATCTTGAATTTTGCAAAGATCGATTTTGAAATTTGTTTATTTGATATACAGTATATTTTTTGTTTTCTATTCCCATATACGAGTATTACGATAATAAATAAACAATAGGAAGAATATATGCATTACAAAATAAAGTGCGATATTCTTTACTCAAAATGCACTTTATTTGCTAAATTAATTAACTTTAGAGATTATTTTTTTACACATACCATAACTACTAAACAGCTTTTAAAATACTTTAGCCGTTAATATTCAAATTCAATGCTTTTGGAATCTTTAGTTTTTTACTACTACCTACTTGATTCCATTTAGACAATTTTGGGGCGCAAAAGCGTGTTATTTAATTAACACCATTTAATTATCCTAATAAAATTAGAATCTTGATTGTTATCCCTCGAAATAATCACAACAAAATGACATGAACATTGAAAACTCGGTTTAATTGACTCTGTACATGAGTGACTATGAAAAAGTGCAATACTGCTCATGACCTCTAGCACCAGCTTGAGCGGTTCTCAATGTTTAATAAATAAGTGCTTTATCAGACTAAATTGTATTTTTTCTTTTATAACTGATATGTCATCTCTAGACTTATTCAATGTTGTGGAACCATCTCGCAAATATTTGGGAGATCAATTACATTTAGAAAAAAACAGCAAAGGACCAAGAATTGAGCCCTTGAAACTCCAGAAGTAAAATTGTGTACGTCGGATTCAAAGTCTCCAATTTAGAGTTATGCATACGATTATACAGATAACAAATGTAAATGTTTAAATGATGTTATGAAAAAAATACAGTTTGAGTTTATATAGATGTAATTCACAGACAACTTAATTAATCGCCTATTCAGGTCTAAAATATTGTGCCGATAAATTTTCCACTATCAACATATTTAAACCAGGAGTCTATCAAATGAATAAGGGTCGTATTGCATGAATGATTCTTTCGAAATCCTAATTGCTTATAATGTAAATTTATTGTTTTCTAGACAAAATGCTATAAATGACTAGCTATATGACATTCCAAAGTCTTAGTTATTGAAGACGAAATAGAAAATGGTCACAACTTGCTCGGTTCATCTGTTAATCAAGTCAATTTGAAAATCGGAATATTTTTATTAAATTCCTCGGGAAATATTCAGTGTCGAATGTTTTTTTTTATTTGCATTGGGGTTACAAAGATACCGCAAGGTTTTATTACTTATTATCATCCAGTCCAGTGGCTTTATTTGCATCTAGTCTTTTAATGAAGATATTTACTTTAAATGCAGAAAATGTTTTCAATTTCAATTTTAAATTCCTTCCATTTAAAGTTTTAATCCAACTTATCCTTCAATATTTTAAATTCCTCGTTAGATAACTGTACTTTTTGTCAAAACTAGAAATATCTACAAAATGTGTGTTCTATTCATTTAAAATATTAGCATGATCATTAAAGGTAGTGTCGCAAATAATGAGTCATTCAGGGATATATCTTCTTTTTTACTCAAATTTATAAACTTCATTAAGTTTCCAGAATAATGGGAATCACTGCTTACACCATTTACCTTAACATTGAAGAATATTATGCAGACATTATGAACACTTACCAAGCCAAAACTCACTGTGTAAATTTCCGAAACCATTTTCATATTGAGCGAAGTTCCTATAGAAATCTACTGAACCGTTAAATCTGTATTGAAAAACCTGATAAAGAGATTGATAAAAAAGTACGCAAATAACTCTAACTTCAAGTAATCTAATAACATAAGTCCATTTAAATACATAATATACAACTTAATTCCTTAAAGTAAATAGTACACAAAAACGATGTTAATGACATATAACTTAAATTGAATAGACAGAAGAAGGCATAATATGTTTAATTTATTCTACATTTCAAATAAACAATTTTGTACAGATTTTATTTATGTGTAACTGAACATCTTTAAATATAACGCAATATATTAAACAACTGACCGTCCAACCGCCACCATCTGTAGTCATGTCACAATAGACTTCCATAGTTTCATGAGTTTTCCATGTAATAATTGTATAAATTCCGTCGCCCTTATCATCGCCATAATGCAAAATATCAGCACAGTCTGTAGGTTCTACAATACATAGGTATGGTAATTTGCACTTACTTTTGAGTCTAATCAAAATGCATTACAACGTTACAATTGAAAGATATTCAATTCAATTAAAATCAAACAAAATAATACATAACAACGTTCAAATATCATTTTATATCATCATTTGGTTATTAATTTGAATTGAGTTTCTGTGTTATCGGGTAATGAAAATGTTTATGCTCAATATCCAACTCATTGAATCTAATGATACCAGGTATAATTTGAGAAATAAAGTGACTGACAAACAAACGAGAATGGAGACTGCGGATCCTCGGTAAGTTCATTTTTAGTATGTTCAATTGCCGAATGTTTCCTCTATAAAAACAAGACATAGCCTATCATGTGAACGGTTACTTTCTTCAAATAATTATACCACGTCTTTTGAGAATACGTTATAGTTGAAGTAAGTCACACGAGAAGTTAAAATTACTAATTGAGCCAGAATCAAAACACAATATCAACATCTGTTAACATAGAAGTTAATTCCAAATCTTGCAGAAATATCTGTACCGTAAAATGTTAACATATGTAAAGTAAGTGAAACGATCGGAAGCCACGCAAACTCAATAAGTTAGTGTCATACATCGCATATGGATATGCGGCCACGGCGTCCGCAAACACGTACGAATAATTCGATATACTACCATTTATATTCAGAAATCAACCAATTATGCATCCGTTTTGAAGAGAAACACAAAATAAGATATTTGATCATGAATTGGAATAACATTTTCGCTCTTTGCTAAATACACTTTAATTGCCGGTGCTAGGAGCGTGAGGGATATTCAAATTTGCATCTTTTCAGTATCCCTCATTTAAAGAGTCAGTCAGTTTTCAAGATTGTTATTACTATCTAATCAATACTCGTTTTACTTACTTTTTCTTTAAAGATCTTTCTATCTTTCTACAAGATTTTATATGGAAAAATGTCAAAAATATGTTATTAGATTTTATGTTAAAGTGAACTTAGAAAGCTCATCTCAATTATTTGTGTTACTTAATTGTAACGTCTCGTGTGATTTACTAAAGCTGCATTTACAATTTTCACACAATTCAAACAATTTCATCTCGAAATCCATACATTCAAGAAGGTTACCGTGCATATGAAAAGCAAGGTCTAAAACTAGTTTGGATTTATAATCTATTTGTCAATTTCATAATTCAAATAAATAAAGGAATTACCGAGCCTCAACGGCCGACAATTCTCGTTTGTATTATAATACAAAGTCACGTGATTCCCTCGTCCCGTAATAAAACATTATTATGTAATAGGATTGTTAGAAAAATATCATCACAAAACAATAAATTTTCTTGAAATAATCAAAATAAGGAAACATTTTAAACAGTAAGATGTTGTTAAATCGTATTGACATCTAAATATTCTCTAGGTATAAATTGATCACGAAAGAGGACAAATTAAAAAAATATGAAAACTAGCAGAATATTATGTAGAGGGCAATCAGTGCGAATTTATTTAAAAAAAAACTTATTGTTTTTAGAAAATATGTTGTTTTTTCTTTAATGATATCGATCAATCAATGCAGTTTCAAGTTGATGTCTCTTAAACGTTTCTATCCTTGGTACGGATTAAAATTATTGATGAAATATTATAGTCAGAAAAAAAATAAAAAAACACATTAAAAAGTTACTGTTTAAATATTTTTTTTTGCTTTTAAAAGATTTATAAAAACTTTCCGATGACTTTTTTATTTTGCTTCGGACAACGATTTATTTTGAAATAATACAAAGGGCTATAACTCCAAAACATACAAAAATTTCGATGTCCTTAAACAATATCACAATATGTGATCTTTCAGTTTGTGACATATACCTGATGGTCTTCACTTTTCCTACATAAGAACTCTTTATCTCTGAAGTTTTTAATTGATACAGCTGATATCTTAAATTATGTACCAAAGTTAAAAAATGACGATTGACCATCGTCTGCCGGGGTTATTTCTTTCAACATTTTTGATCCCTTTAACCAATAAAGCATCCTCTTTCCGTCCCATAGGCTACTAATTCCTCAAGAATACTGTTTGTGCGGACAAAGGAAACAGACATTCATGCGATAAATTGTGCACCTGAGAACATGCGGACTGACGAACGTCCCAACGGACAACGCCAAATTTATATAAATAAGTCTTCAACGGGACAATAAAAAGCATACATACTATGCTGGCAATTGTTTCCACTGTACCCTTGAGTACATGCACAAACATAACCATTCACTCGATCACTACATGTTCCATTTATACATGGATTTGATAAACATTCATCTATGTCTGAAAGAAAGATATATTGCGTTTACACTTGCTCAATTATATAAGTTAATTTTGGAATGATTGTTGTGTATGTGGCATCTTGTAATTTATTCCATTTGATCTTTACTTTATTTGATATTCCAATATTGTCACTAATTGAAATCCTCCCATAGAAAATGATGCATGATGTTAGGTTTGTTTTTGACGTTTGTACAAACTTCATAGTTTCTGAGCCGTGCTCATTATTGAAGGCTGTGGTATGTTCTGTTAAATGCGCTCTTACTTGTTGAAATGTTTTATAAAATTTTCTAATTTTTTTATCTTTATGAAAATTAATTAATTTGTTTGTTTAATAAACAAAAGCAAAAACAATGCAATTATGCATATACATGTGTAAAAAGTAAGTGCACAGGTAAAAGCAAATACAATTGAAATATAATCATTGATAACGGAATCAATCAGCATAATTTTATTTTGGACAAATTATTTATCTAAAGACATAAAGAATACATATTAAGTATTCCATAACAATTAATGATGTGGACAAAATAAAGTTATCTATCCCATCAAACAACAATTTTTCACTGTTTTCATCCATCTTCAACTTTGTAATGATATAAACACATAAGAAAGGGGAGAAGACATCCGTGTCAAAGAATGTTCTACTCGGTTGCGATAACGAAGATTTAAAGATAAACGAGGGACGGTCAGAAAAAATCCGGACTTTTGACTCGTTCTCGAAAACCATTCAACATTTAAAAGAAAATCTTTCTGCTCTTTTTTTTTTGAATCTCCACCTACGTCTACGCACTTTTGCTATCTTCGTGGGAGCTTTTGTATTCCCGCTGTGAACCATGACGTAGACCTATGTTTTAGGTACTGTGTAACAGCAGATATCAAAGCCGCCCTGGTCTTATATTTTTTCCAGCAAGCAATTTTTTCAGTCCTGGAAACAAATAAAAGTCACAGGGGGCGAGGTCTCGGCAATAGGAAGGGTGATACAACCATTGCCATTTTTAAGAGTTGGTAACCTCCACTGTAGCTGCGGCGGTATGGGATGGGGTGTTATCGTGAAGAAGGAGGACATTTTTCTGTGCAAACCTTGGGCGCATTTGCTTCAGCTTTTCTCTGAAATTTTTCAGAATTACTTCAGAATAGTACTTGGCGGTGACGGTTTGACCTTTTGGCATGAAATGGGTAAGTATCATTCCTCGTAAATCCCAAAAGGCAACAGGCATGACTTTGCCAGCCGAAGGAGACAGCTTAAACTTTAAGGAGGTGGGGAACCAGCTCGTTTCCACTGCTTTGACTGAGTTTTTGTTTCAGGTTGGAAAAATGAACCCACATCTCATCTCGTGTGATACTGCGGTTCAAAAACTTATCTCCTTCACGATTAAAACGACTTAAATGTTCTTTTGTATTGGTTGCTCTGGTTGCCTTTTGATCTGCGGACAGCTGTCTATGCACCCATCTGGCACTTACCTTGCTCATACCTAGGTGTTCGTGTAAAATTTGTGTGTCGATGCCTTACCGATGCTAAACTTGTTGGCTACCTTCTCCGAAGTAACTCGACAATTTTTGTTGACAAAAGCTTTAACATTTGCTACCATTGTTGGGGTTATCGCCTCAGCGTGCCGTCAAGTCCTAGGCCTGTCACAAACACTTGTTCTGCCTTCACAAAACTGAGAAACCGAATTGTAGAAGGTTGAACGTGATACACATTTATCAGAAAATCTTATTTAAGTCTCTAAAAGATGTAGCAGGGCTTTTCACCTTCTGCAACAAGAAACTTTATTATAGAGCGCTGTTCCTCTAACAAAAAGTCCATGATAGACGAAACACCTATCATATATCAAAGGGCAAAATACTGTGTATACACAACTATCATTGAAAATAAACTGACCACGTTATTGGCAAATGAATGTAGTTTTCACCAATATAAAATGTGTGTATATAGCTGCACGTGGAAAGAGAGGAGCATGAAAAGTCCGGATATTTTCTGACCGTCCCTCGTATGCTTATTAACAGTTTCAGAAATGAGACCAATCTATAACCTGAATAAGCGGTTGTAATCTTTTCAAACTTGAAATCATGCTTTATGGAACAGAAAAGAAATTGAAAGAAAACATTAGAGTTCATACCGTGTTGACAATTGCTTCCATTGTATCCTTGATTACAGGCACAAATATACCCATTAACTCGGTCAATACATGTTCCATGTACACATGAATTTGATAAGCAATCATCTATGTCTGAAAAAAGATATAGCGGTAATGCTTGTTCAATCATACAATTTAATTTGTTCATTCTGGCATGGTTTTTGTGTATGTGGCATTTTGTAATTTCTTCCATTTGATCTTTTATTTGTTGGATATTCCATTATATCCACTAACTGTAGTCCTCCGGTAGAAAATGATGCATGTTGCGTTTGTTTTTGACGTCTGTCTCAGACTTTATTTATATCTGATCTGTGCTCATTATTTGGGGCTGTTATCTGCTCTGTTAATTACGTTCTTGCGTGTAGAATTGTAAATCACAATTAATATGTTTGTTCAATTAATAGATTTCTTAAAGGGACATTATGCCTATGCATGTGTTTATGGTGAGTGTTCAGGTAAAAGCAAAAAAAACTTCAATGTTTGTCTGTTCTATTTATTGAACTTTTACTTGTTGAATTGTATTAACTAATGCTCTTTTTTCATCTTAATGAAAACACATTTATGTGTTTGTAAATTAAATTAATATATCAAAAGCTTAAAGTGACATAATGCCTATATATGTGTTAATGGTGAGTGAGTGCAAAGGTAGAAGCAACACACTTCATATTTTGTTATAGTCATTTTAAATTTTACTTTACATGTAAAACCAATAGTCCACGTCTTAATAATTATAAGGAGTATAACAGTCATTTATTTTTTTATATATTTTATCTTGTTTGACAATAACCATTATATCAGTAAAATGTTTGAAATTAATAGTTATTTTCTTAACGGAAGCAATCAGCATAATATTGCTTCGGACAAAATATTTATCTACAGGCATAAAGAGTTCAAATTCGACAACAATTAATGATATGTCATCCATGTTTTCAAACATTTTTTTACGTGGGGTTTTCGTACATTTGATAAAGGGTTTTGGAGATGATATACCTACAAAATGGGAGACGACGTCAGTCTCAAGTGAATATTCTACTCTATTATGATAACTGAATATATAATATGTGCTTTCAAACAATTTAGGAAATGAGAGCCCCTGATAAAGCTGTTGTAATCTTATGAAACGTTTATCATGCTATATGGAGCATAAATAAAAACGTAGAAAACGTTAGAGTAAATACCGTGTTGACAATTGCTTCCATTGTATCCTTGATTACAGGTACAAACATAACCATTCACTCTGTCAATACATGTTCCATGTACACATGGATTTGATAAGCATTCATCTATGTCTGAAAAAAAGATATATTGGGTTCAAGCTTGTTCAATCATACAATTTAATTTGTTCATTTTGGCAAGATTGTTGGGTATGTGACATCTTGTAATTTATTCAATCTGACCTTTAATGTGTTGAATCTTCCATTATTTCCTTTAATTGTAGTCCTCCCGTACAAAATAATGCCTTTTAGGTTTGTTCTTCATGTCTGATGCAGACTTCATATTTTCTGATCTGTGCTCATTATTGAAAGTTGTGATCGGTTCTATTTAATTGCGCTCTTCTTTGTTGTATTGCAATATAAAAGTTTCTAATTTTCCCTTTAAGAGAAAACATTGTGATTGCTTGATAAATATATTTCTTAAAGGGACATTATGTCTATGCATACGTTAAAAGGTGAGAGAGCACAGGTTAATTGAAAAAACTTCATATTTTGCATGTTCTGTTTATTGCTCTCTTACCTGTTGAATTGTTATATCATAGTTTTTGTTCTAATGAAAACTCAATGAATGTGTTAATATCATAAATAAATTTCTCAAAGGTTAAAAGTGACATTACACCTGTGTTTATGGTGAATGCACATGTAAAAGAAAAACAATTTCATATTTTGTTACAGTCCTCAATTTTATACTTTACTTTACATGTATAATCAAAAGACATGTGACTCAGGACATTATATATTTATAATTTTATTAGTATTTTATATTTAATCAGTAATGTTCAATTTATATCAAGAGTAGGGCATTTTTAATACTTACGTCACTTCTATATATAATCCTGAACCTTGTTAGTCAATAACCATTTTAACAGCAATACGTTTGAAATGTATAGTAATATTTTAACAGAAGCAATCAGCATAATTTCACTTTGGACAAATTATTTATCTACATGCATAAAGAGTTCAAATTAACTTTTAACAAAAAAAAAAATTAACAATATGGACAATATGAAAATCATCCATTTTATCATACAACAAATTTTCACGTGAGGTTTTCTTGCATTTGATAAAGAGGATTGAAGATGGTATACATACAAAAAGGGAGAAAACATCAGTGTCAAGAAAATGTTCTACTCTGTTGCGATAACGAAGTTGAAAAGATATATCCTTATACACAATTTGTGAAATGATGGCGATGTACCACCTGATAAAGCGGTACTAATCGTTATAAACGTAAATCATGTTATTTGGAGCAGAAATGAAAACGTAAAAAATGTTAGAGAACATACCGTGTTGACAATTGCTTCCATTGTATCCTTGATTACAGGCACAAAAGTAACCATTCACTCGGTCATTACACGTTCCATGTACACATGGATTTGATAAGCATTCATCAATGTCTTGAATATACAAAAACATGACAATTAAAGCATATGATGGTGTGTAACATATTATTACTTCATAAAAATGTATTTAACAATTGAAATATTTGCTGAGACAAAACCGTAAAACATTTATGCACTTACGTGTATTTAATAATTTATTTATCTATATAATTTATTTTTGATATTATATAATCCCAGAGTGAATGCAGAACTACTTTGTAATGTATATCTGGTTTGTCTCTAGTTTTGGACGTTTTTAATGTTAATATTTGCTAAGCGAAAATGTGAAAGAAATTTTTAAAAAATAACAATAATCATAATGAATGTTATTGTTGTACATATCAAAGTTTAAAAAAAATAACATACATAAATATAATCATGTATGTTCTGAAAATACAATAAAATATAAGTGTAGCAGTTTATAATATATCTGTTCGAAATGGATGACGAGACAGTCTATTAAATATCCAATTAGTTTAGTAGTAAAATTAATAGGATAAATTCATATTGATTAATCATGTTTTTTTCTTTATTTTATTTAGATTAATGCCATTATTTGGATCATATTTAATCATAAAAGAGTATCTAAAACGAAAAGTGAATGTATTGTATTTCCCAGCATTTAAAATGATATTACCTTTGTCGCATATAATTCCGGTGAAGCCTGCTGGACAATCACATCTAAAGTTATGACCGTCAGATTTGCAAGTACCATGGTTACAAGGATTTGGCTGACATGGATCTATTAAATAATAAATTAGAAAATAACACGCCCAGTGCTTTGATACTAGGAATGACTGACATACTAAGCAAACAAATAAAGAATATGTTAGCAATGCCCTCGCAGATAACACATCCTTTATTTTAAATTCAATTATCTTTGCCAATAATTAAAATATATTTTAAACAAATATTGCAATGCATATGAGTTAAAACCAAGGGCTACATTTAAGTCAAATGTTGGAAATAAAATGAAAGTAAATGCTCTTTGGTGGCAATGAGTAGCTGAAATAAGTGCAAAATTATAAAATTAACTTTTGATAATTAATTCAATTTTCCGAAATATAGTGGATGATAAAAAGATTTCTTATTTTTTGAAGTCTTTTAATTTTTTTTCTGCAAGAAAATATTTACGGTTTAAAAACTTTTAAACCACAAGATGGTCAAAACTTGAGAACGGTATAAAAGCATTAATTTTATGTAACCCCCCGTTTGCAATATCACTATATCCCCATAAAACTTTTTCACTTAAGACACTTCATTACACATAAAGACACCTGAGCTGTAAAAACAAAGTTAACAGAAACCGAGTGATCGATAATGCGCATAACCGTTTAAACAATCTTGAAATGATCGGTCAATTATATACCTATAGACAGCTGAGCTGTGGTGCAATTTTTATTGCACAGATCTTCTGAACAACAAGAATCGCATAAATGTTGCTCGTGACTTCTTTTGTCCATGCTGACGTCACGTTTTCCAATGATAGCCACGTGGTTACCTTCCACTGGTTTACAAGCCTAGAAAGAAACATACAAATGTTGCTGCTGATTATAATGATGATGATAGTGATTGTAATGAAGATGATGCTAGGGATGATGTTCTTTGCTTTTTGGCATGTTATGCTTCACTTAATTCATGATTATCATAATATTCCTTTATAGACTTTAAACACTTGATAGATATCCTATTTTGTACACCTTGTTTTGTAATGTTAATATCCCAAAGACAAATGGGGGTTATTCTGATACAGCATCTTCTTTTCGAACTTCATCACCACGATAGGGTATCACCAAAGTCTTACCAAAAATAATTTAGCTTTAGCAACCCTGTTAGTGGGCCATGAAAATATATTTTGGAATATCAAAAAGTAAAAATCCCCATTTCACATCGAAATTTTTGCCATGGGAAAAATTAAAGTGTCCCAAATGGAAAACAAGCAGCAAATAAAAAACATGCAAAAGGGGATTATTTAACGAATTTAACTACTGGAATCGATCTCTATTTTCTTTCATTTTTTGCACCATCGTTAAAATATAGAATGATGAAAACATCCGTACAATTGCCATAAGAAAACAAAAAAGAATCATCTATATGATGTTATAATTATTCCCAAAACTACAAAATTAATAAGCAGGCGCAATTTATCCCGGTCTAAAGTAAATTAACAAAATTCCATAGGACAAAAATATATGTTTTATTAGGTACAAAAACTTAACTTCCTCCTTCTTATCTCGTTTGAAATATTTAAATCTACATTTTATGTTAACTAAAGCGTCAATAGTTAAATGAAGACTTTGATTTCAGGCAGGAAATTATAGTATGAGTATGGTGCAATTCTTATGTGGAGTATATAAATTTTTAAGGGACAGTTGAGTCAACAGATGATTAAATTGTTTCTTCTACCATATAAGAATCCCGATTTCCATTTTGTCATTATGGCAAACGAATTTGCGAAATTGCAAGAATCATTTTAGATAAGGTCAGAGTTGACGATAATTAATGACAAAAAATCTCACGTGTTTAGATATACAGCTACTGGTATACACAGTCTCTGAGAACATACTCTTCCCAACAATATTACACACCTGAAACAAAAACACCAATTGAAATATATCTGTACATAATCAAAATATAAATATGAAAGAGGAGATAATCCCTGCAAAATATGCTTTTCAATGAAAGTTTGATTAAAATATAATAACATGTTTACAAACGCTTGAATTGCATTCAAACGTTTTAAGTTCGGATGACAATATCAGTTACAATAAACAATGCCTTGTATTAAAGATTTATAAACTCGAAAATTAAATTCAATTGCGGTTCTCAAGACAGAACATGACCCTCAGAAATTCCGAAAATTTCTTTGGAAATTTGCCGGGGGGGTTGTTCTACAATAATGTAAACATGAAATTTAAAAATTTTTTTAAAAAACAAACTAAAAAAATATTTTTAAAAAACGTATTTTGATAAAAGGGTTTCATCATCAAAATGGTCTTTAAACATTTATTTCACAATTTGCAAAGACTGAAAACCTAGCCCATTTAACCCAAAATTTGGGAAAAAAAATTAAAGGGGGATTTCAGCTATATTTTTGAGGTTTACAAAATAGAACATTTTTGAAAGCACACAAAGTTCATGAGAATATGGCACTAAACGTTATTCTCACAAAGACAATTAAAAGCCAAACAATTAAACAACAATTTCTCATCAATTTCTCATCAATTTCTCATCGTGTTAATCGAAGGTTACACTGAATGGCAGGTATTTGTTTACATTGACAACTGACAATGGTTTATAAGAAATAGCGACATCAAAGATAAGCTGCGATGTTTTAACGGCAAAGTTATTATGCTTCTTTGCACATTTTCGGATAATTATTGCATAATGGCGTGCAGCAACTAAGTATTATCCTCTTAGTAATAACGACACTACTCCAAACTGTTAAATTATTAAGGTAAGCATGTTATGATGCGTGCAATAATTACGCGACACTTGTACTAGTTCTTTTTTTTAACACACCTGCGTGTGTATCCCAAAAATTTAATTTCAAGATAAACTTAAAACAAAATTCAAAATAATTTTAAAAAAGGAACAAAATAGTTTTTTTACAATGTTTTCGGGGCTTGATTAAAAAAATTTAAAAAGAAAAATTTCACGTATTTATATATTATGTATTTAACCAACATTCAT